TCTGTCTGTCTGTCTGTCTGTCTATCTATCTATCTATCTATCTATCTGTCTGTCTGTCTGTCTTTTCTATATATCTCAACCATATTTAACTGGTTATTTCAAAGCCTTAATGGAGCAAATCAGTTTCATTCTCATTCTAAACTTCTTTAATGTGAAACAAGATTGATGTTTGGTACATTAGCAATGTTGCTGAGATCCTCCATTAACAGAAGCTTCAATAAGGCTGCTTGCATCTTCGACAGCATGCGCCACTTCAAACACTATCTTACAACAGCATCCAGAGTGCCTGCGGCAGCCAACGCTAAGCGTTCTGCTGTTGTCCCACTGCCAAACTCTGGGGAGGGATACAGATAGAGGAAGCGAGTTGAGTATTTTAGTATACAACTCTAAATATTTAAACCAATAAGGAAGTCTGTATCCTGTTGGAAATTTTAAATGAATTTTATAAATATAGAACACACTAGGTTTGCCTTCTTTTTTATGTGTATGCTGAATGCTAAGTTTAGCATTCAGTAATGCTGAGTTTAATTACGTACAAAAAAACTCCAAAACATGATGCAATAGAACTGGTGCATTAGTTCAGACCTGTCTGAATAAGACAGATATTTGATATACTGTAAATATCTAACACTAATATATCACCTTCATGCTCTCCTCTGTGGTGTGATTTGTCACTTTTATTCATTGCCTGTAATGTCTGCAAGTCTAGGAATACTTCATAAAAAAAAAGCAAAAGCAAATTCTATCGTCATTTATTTAACCAGTAACACTTTAACTGACAATGAGCAGTTACAGTATTTAATCTTTGATAACTTTAGTTAATAAAATTACAACTTGTCATTTCATGTTTGCTCAGGTCTATTAAGTAACATTAACAGATACAACTTTTTATTTTAATAATGTATTAACTAAGATATATGTATTAACTAAGATATAAACTAAGATTAATAAATGCTTTCGGATTTTTTTATGGTTAGTTCATGTTAAATAATAATAACAAATGGAACCTTGTGAAGTGTTACCATTCAACCTTGTTCCAAACCTATATGACTTTCTTTTTTTTCTGTGGAACATATGTGTATGACCTGGAAATTTTTTGGAGCATGACAGTTGCTAGTCACCATTCACTTTCATTGTTAGGAAAATTAAAATTTAATAAAACAACAAATGTTCATATTTTTTAGAACTATTTCTTTTATATCTGTTAATAGTATGTGTAGAAGAAAAAAAGAGAGTCTACTTTCTTCTTTCTTATCTGTTTCCATACCAACTGGGTGGGGATTGGCTGCTTTAGAGAGGGATAATGGAACTGAGAGCTGATGCCTCTGGGTAAAGACAGTTATCATAGTCATACAGAACCCCTAAATCGGTGTGTGTGTGTGTGTGTAGATGTGGATGTTTGCATTCCTGAATAAAAAAAGAAAGACTTTGCGAAGCAATGATCAGGTCATGAGTGTAGTGGAAGAAAGGGAGGATTGAGAGGGTAATGTATGCATGCTTGTGTGGGTGTGAAGACTCTGTGGGTGACTTTGCATGCCACCAGCAGAAGGTCACTCATGCTGGGCTTCCCAGCTGTAGCTTTATTATTATGAGCAAATATGAAGCAACAAAATCTATTATGCTCTGCTCTATTTGTTTTTATTGAAAGTAATTGAACTCATGCTTCCCATAAATGCTTTAGAATGAATAGCTGTGGCTATAGAGTGGATGGATATATATATGGTAGAATATTGTTTTTTTTGGTTTCCATGTGAAACACTGCTCAGATGTAACTTTCTAAATTGCTCTGTTTTCTGGAAATATCCATTAAAAAATCATTTTAGGTGTATTTTTTTTACTACTATTAATCATGATAATTTGGGAGGAAAATATTCTGTTCTTCCTTGGACATTGGAGGGGACCAACTTACATTATATACACACATACATACATATGCAGGTGTGCATTAAAATCATTTAATGCACAGTTTCCAAGTCAGTCACTCACACACACACACACACACACACACACACACACAGACACAGATATCAAAGATCGCGCAGCGCACACACAGAAACATTAAGAAGCACGGAAACTTGTTGTCAGCGACTTTTATTTTTAAAACAGCTTCGATACTGAATTGCTACATTACTATGAGCAATGAGGGGGTAAAAGTTAATTTTTTAAGTAAAAAAAATAAATAAAAAAAGCTGTTTTTGAAGTAACTAAACTCACAGCTTCACCTTAGTAGAGAGAGACGCACTGATACGCAGGTAGTATTCACACACACACACACACACACACACTCACTCACTTGTCCCTCTCAATGTCTATGGTGTTTACGGCCCTGTTGGAATAACCACTGTAACATTTTACAATTTTACACATTGTAAACTAAACTGATAAAAATATTTTTGAAAGAATCTTCACTCAGAAATGGCTAATAGCCTAAATCTCACACTTAATTACAAAGAAACAGCAAACATTTAATTAAACATTGAATTTTGTAATTCTTGTAAAACTTACTCCAATAATCTTCGAAAATCTTTTTTCTTTCTTTCTGTACTTCATTATTTATATCGGTCTATATTCGCGAAAAATTGAATAGCATAGTTGGGTCAAAATAATAATATTTCACTTATTATTGCACTTAATAATAATAATACTAATAATAATAACAATATAGAACAGTACTTTAATTGTCCATTTAGAGACATATTTCACAAATTGTTATATGTTATTATTATTATTATTATTATTGCCAGGACTGCACTAAGGCAGCAGTGACGCCCAGTTTGTTGGCTGCTGGTTCATCAGTGCGGCGCGCGCGGGGAGCGTGAGCGCTTGGAGACGTAGCGCTGCGCGTGGGTCGCTACGAGGGGTGTGTGCGTCCGTGACACTACTCCACTACACCGATTAAACATCATATATCAACCTACGGCGGGTCACGGAGCATCGCATCACTCACCCTGGAAACCAACGCTCTTAAACGGCATCCGCGCAGTTGTGCCATTCAGTCCGTTTGAACGCTCATTCGCGAATACACCCTGCTCCGGAGGTGGGTTCTAATACCGGAAAATGACACTGACCCATAGCCGGAGATAGGGATGGATCCAAGAGTGCGGAGGATGCTCGCCCTGCTCGGTGTGTTTGCATTCTTGCTGGAGGTAAGATGCGCCTTTAGGGCTGTTCAGTAATAGCGCGGAATAAATACACCTAAATGGCTTTATTAGATTTGCTAACACAATGTGTGCTTTTGCGTGCTCTTTATTTGTATTGCTTTGAGCCACTAACATTAATGCAGCATGATTTCAAAGTGCACTTTTTGGCCAAATCTAGTTCAGCATCTTATATCTGTCATTGTGCAATAAAACACTCACATGCTGTTTAATGGATTCAAGCAAAGCCACCTCCCTCTAATAGAGGATCTGCCATGCTCTAGGGAGGAAATGTTGCTTAAATGATACACGTTAAACATGGGCTTTGTACATGGAGGATTATTAGATGTTTAAATTCAGTTATCATTTAATAACCTTATTTTTTGTTTTCTGTTTCCGTTGTGAATGCACAAAGCTCAGAGCTTGCAAACCACAAGGATTCAAAAATACAACACACTGACCCATATTCTGCTGTAAGACTAATGAGTTTGATGAGCGTGCTAGAATACAATTATTGACCCACACACATAATGGTATTTCAGGGGATGTGGAGAAGAATTCACTATTAGGATTGTTTGAAAAGAATGGTTGATTTTTGGGGTAATAGAGCATATCTACACTCAGAAGTCTCCAAACTCAGTTCAGCACAGAAGACAAAGAAACATCCAGTTGTGAAAGATTCAACAGAAATGCTTTGAACAAGATTTTCATTTTGTGGTACTACCTACTAAACCACTCCTAAATGGCTTGTTATTAATTTTTTTAGCATATCATAAAAAAAAAATTTGCAGAGAAAGGCATCAGCGTTATTTAACAGCTAGACAATTGTACCTTCATCTCAGTTCACATCCACTACAGAGCTGGAGTATCTTAACATCTGTTTGGGCAGTGAAACAACAGCACTATGGGAAGGAATTAATGCGTAATATACCTGCCGTGCTCCATTAGAGACTTTATGCTCCTCTTGATTATGAAAATTTCACAGCACCAGCAAATCTGTTGAAGGGCTATGCTCCTGACATAGTGTCATACACCGGATTGATTTTAAATATCTGCGTGCATTTTAAAATGTGCGTTTGCAATTAGACTCCTGGGATACAAAAAAACAGCAGCACACCGGATGTGTGCTATAGGCTAGACGTCAAGGTTGATGTGTGCCTTCTTGTGTTTGCAGCTGTCAGTAAGACACACCTGGTCATATGTTCACTCATCTGTGCTATACTCCATTACTACAAGCTGTTTTTTTGTATAGGTGTCATTTGAAATGGACAGCCAAATGGGAGTCAAAAACAAAGATGCTGTTTAAATCAAGGGTTTTGTTTAATGTATATTTTCCTGTTTGGGGGAAAGGAACATAATCAAGGACAGTGCCAGTCTGGCCCCAGTTGTTGCTGTGGAATGAGAATGAAAGATGCAATTATGGCCGTAACTGACCTGAGTGGGTTGAGATGAGCACAAATATCAGGGCGCATAACTGGAGCTTGTTATCTATAATGCAATTAGCCTTCCTGGTGATGCTAAATCCTCAGATCAGTTTATTGGTCATGAATTAATGAAGTCAATACCATGTTTTCATCTGTAGACATGTTTGATAAATTACTGAGTGCAGTGCAGCTTAGAAACAAAGGGGTTTTGAAAGAATAGTTCATTTAAAAATTAAAATTTGCTGAAAAGTTTCTCACCCTCAGGCCATCCAAGATGTAGATGAATTTGTTTCTTTATCAAACAGATTAGGAGACATTGACCATTAAATCACTTGCTCACCAGTGGATCCTCTGCAGTGAATGGGTGCCATCAGAATGAGAGTCCAGACATCTGATAAAAACAAAACAATAATCCACAAGTCCTCTATCCATAATATTGATTTCTGCAGTCTTGTCTAAAGCAGAAAAAAAATGCACATATCTAGCACCGTTTACAAGCGAAAACAGTTCAAAACAGTTCTAAACAAATATTTGGGTAGATTTTGATATGAGAGGACAACAGGGGACATACTTTATTGTGAAGTTTTAGCTGTTTGAACTCTTATTCTTTATAGGAATAGTTCATTAAAAAATGAAAAAAAATTTTTTACTCACCTTCATGTTATTCCAAACCTGTATTTTTTTATTTCTTTTGTGGACCTCAAAAGAAGTTTAACAGAATGACTTGCTCTCTTCCATGCAAATAAAGGACTGTCACACTCAAATGTTCCATATGACTCATGCTGTAAATTTTATATGTCTTCTGAAGCCATATGATAGCTCTATGTGAGAAATAGACTGGAACTTAAAGCTGAAAATCTTGTATTGGAAGTATTGAAAACCATCAAAACTCACTGTCATTGTATGGAAAAAGGAGCGTGGGCTTTCTGCTATAAATAACTCATTTTGTGTTTCACAGAAGAAAGAAAGTCATACTAGTATTGAAAGACTAAGTCATACTAGTATTGAAAGAGTAAAAGATAACACAATTTTTTTTTTAGGTGAACTATTCCTTTATTAGAGAACTGGTAAACACTATAAAAGAAATGTTTAAATATTTTTATGGGTCACTGATGAGTGCTAGGTCAAATTTAGGATTACAGGTTTATGGTTTCTGATGCTCAGCGAAAAATCAGTTGGGAGAACAGAGTCCAATTGGTTCTGGAAAGCTCGGACTGCAAAACCCTTTACAGCCATCCTGCCTGCAATCGCTCAATGCATTTCAAGTCACAGAATCAGCTTTAATTCCTTACTGCTGCCACTATGACGTTCTATCAGCAATCCTCAGATTTCTAGGGTGTACTCAACCTTGACAGCTGCCCAAATCTTAGCTGAATGGTTTGAAAACCCAGTGCCAGATTTTATTAATGTATTAGTAGCTTGATTTTTCAGCTAAATATTACAATTTGAGAATCAGAAGTGAGAACCTCTGCAATTAAAGCATATTAGTATATTAATAAGTGCTAAATGTGTGATATTAAATTAATAATGTGAAAATTATAATGTGCATTTTATTTGAGCAATTGATTAAGTTTCCCTAAAGAAACTTAATAAAATTCATTTCATGATTGTGTCATGACTACTGGTTCCTCTATTTAAAAAATATTTGTGTATGTGTGTGTGTGTGTGTGTGTGTGAGTTTAAATATGTGATTGAACTTAAATCCCCATTCATATCATATTATTCGCATCCCAGTCACGTTTCATTGTAAGACAGCAGTAACTTTTAAAGATTACAATACTAACTCATCTGCTAATTGCACTTTAAACGCAGAAATAAAATGTCAGTTAAAATATTAACAGATATTATCTTGGTTCCCTGTCAGAAGTGACTCTCACAGCTTCCTCTGAGGCAGGCAGAAACGGAATGTTTCTGCTGTTCAAATGTGTCACGTCAAAGAAGATAAAACATCACTATTCCGGAAAAACAGACACTTTAGTGTTCTGAACAGATCAATTCATAATTCTGCCAGCTTTCTGGATTTGAACTCATTTCCTTTTTCCCTCTCTGCAGGTGAATGGTGATGACAGCTACCTGAATGCAGTGCAGAATACAGGTGAGTCGATACAAGTCTTCTCTGTTTTAGACCCCATTTACACCTGGTATTAACATTAATTTCTGAATATCCTATGCATGATCCAAAACATTTTGTGATCATTCAAACCACATTCACAGGTGGTCAAAATGCATGTGACCCCACTGCATTTGTAGTGTAAATGCTAATCAGTCCTGATGAGTCTTGGACAACATTAAAGAACTGGCTTCTCATCTGTGCTAGGGTTAGTTTTAAATTGTGTTTCTGACTTAAAAGAGTATAATTATTTTCAAAAAATCATAAATTTTAAAAGTGAATATCTACTAAAGGTCACATCTTTAAAAAAAATACACTATCATAAACTGTAGATCGCTTTAAAGTACTAAAAGCAACAAAATGTTCATTTCATGCTCTATAAAGATGACCTAGACTTTCATCTTTCATGCATTTACAGAGATGTATGAAAAATTAAAAACAAATGCTTGTTTAGAGTTACATTCCACTATATCTCATTCTCTCAATTCTGCCTGTGTTTGTAATGAGCTGATGACGATGGATTTGCGATGGGTTGTCTTACATAAATAATTCATTAATTCCCCTAGAGCTCCAAAATATGACATTTACACCACATCAATGTGCGCTGGTCACTGGATATCGCCAGTGTGGCTGGTTAATAAGGGCATTAGCGCTCTATGTTGGTCTCCCATCTTTCTGAACTCTGTCAGATTTTCTCCCTCATCTCATTCTCATATACTTAGACAGCGTGAAATTCCCCAGTACCAATCCCAGAGTGCTAATGACTGTCAGTGCTTTGATGTCACTGCATCAAGACAGATAAACAGCCTGGCCCAGACCAACCAATCAGACGGCTTTATGGTGCCGGGAACGGAAAGGACTTAGATTGAGCGATTTGGTTTTCGCTTCTCAATGTAAACATAAACTGTGCCAGAAGCATCCCTCATACATCAAAAGAAATGGGTCAGATTATGATTTTATAGTTCCCTTGAAAGTTGCGTGGTTAGATTGCTACCTAGATCTAATATGAAACGTGCTACAGGGGTGGTTGGAGATGCTTGGACCAAATAAAAAAAGTTATTTTGATATGTGTTATATCCTCCGACACAATGTGCAATGATTGCATGCAAAGTCTTTGTTGTGCAGCACAGAATGTCTGAAGCTTTGTACATGAAAAAGGTTGCCATAAGAGACCTCATTTGTTTTATTTTGCAAAAAAAAAAAAAAAACTGCCAATGCTAATGTGAATACCCTAATGCACTCATGTCGCTTCCTGTCACCCATTGGTGCCCCACCATGCATCTGCTCTCACATTCGCTTAACACGCCAAAGCACGTTATGTGAACCGTATCAAATATTCATTGTGGTGGAGAAATGGATTATTTGGGGAGGGAGAATGAGCTCTCCTATGGCGCAGAGCTCAGAGTGTGTGTGTCCAAGTACGCCACATGGATGCTTTGCGTAAATGACTTGATTTCTGCTGCCATTCGTTCTGCCAGTGTGCTTCCATTAGCTCGGAGCGGCACAGAGGGTGTCAGTGGCTGAAGGTGAATGAATCCCAGCCAAAGAGCTCTAATACAATGCACTGCATTATTTAATTTTCTTATTATTATTTTTAATAATTTTTTTGCTTATTTTTGCACCCACTGTTAACTGCATATTGTATAGAAGTTCTGTTATATCTAAGCTATTTTATCTGATCGTTCAGATTTGATTGCCTGTAGGTTTGATATTTGCTTTTAAAATTGTTTTTTGTTGTGCAACAAAATTGAAATTCTCCACAGATGGAGCACATGTTGGATGGCTCTCTTTGTGTTGCCCAAGCTTTGAGTGAATCACTTATGTCCTTCAATTTTGATCGTTGACTCATAAGGTCATTTTTAATAATTCTTTTTGGAATACAACATCAAAACATCACAGAAAAGACTCTCTCAGCCTGTCTTCTTCTTCCGTGCATCTGTGCCAGTCTTTGCTTTCTCAAACAGCTTTGATGTTTCATCCCCCACCTTATGTGTCAAATCTGTGTGTTTGGTTTAGAAAGGAGAAGAATGTCAATATAAGATGATTTCACAAGAGTTGATCTTTCAAAGAATGGCTATGTTTTGAATGAGTTGGATGCGTTGCATTATCTGAATCCCAGCCAAAGAGCTCTAATACAATGCACTGCATTATTTAATTTTCTTATTATTATTTTTAATAATATGGTAAAATAAAATCCATGGTAGAGCATGCATCCTACATGCATCTCTCTCTGATTCCCCGTTGTGTCCCTTCCCCCAACCTTTTCCATGTCGTAAGATGCATTAACACCTGGGGGTCAGCCATTTTTTCTTGCATCGTAATGGAATGGGATCGAAATGTCTGAGCCTTTGCTAAGTTGTTGGCTCCTGTTCTGGTCCTGATGCTCTGACTGCTCTGTTTTACACTCTTTTACGACCTGACCTTCCCTGTCATTCCTGTTAAAATTCTCTCTGCTTCTTTTTATCACCAAATGTACTATTCCATCATGCAGAAGATGTCTATCTCTGTTCTCTTTTAAGGATTCAAATGTAAGCTGAATGTATCAGTCCTAAAGGGATAGTTAATTCTATCATTATTTACTCATCATTATATCATTATAACATTCCAAACCCATAATGTTGTTGTTGTTGTTTTCTGTGGAGCACTATTGTTTTTAAAGAATCATTATGGAGATTTCCATATAATCTTAGTTTATCATGACCAGGGGCTGTAAAATTCTAAAAATAACAAAAGGCATAATAAATGCACCATTAATTCTAAAAACAATATCAATTGTTAAATCAAATGAAAAATTGTGTGTTTGATTGGTCCAGACGCTACATGTGGCACCTATTGTGCAGGTTGGATGTCAATAACATCAAATGTCAATAATTATTCAGTGTTTCTTAATATCATGACATCAAAACTGCACCATAATCAAAATGTTTGATTCAAGAGCTGCAATATAGGTGAAGAAGATTGTCTATGAATAATAAATAAAGATTTTTATAGATTACATTTATGGTCTACATTTATTTCTATTTACTATAAGGAAAAAAACGACATTGTACATATTCTAAAGAATCTGTGTTGTTCTTGCCTGTGCAAAAGTTGCTTTTGTGTTGCTGGCGTGTTGTCAGTTGCTCCTAGGGTGTTGCTGTGTTATTGCTAAGATGTTCTGGGTGGTTGTTAGGCTGTTGCTAAGGTGTTCTGTATGGTTGTAAAGTTGTTACTGGGCCAAGTCAAACAATCCACACCAAGATTCTATGATGTTCTATACCATTCAAACGTTTTGATACAGTATTTTTGTTTTGAAGAAATTAATACAGCAAGGGTGCATTAAATTGATCAAAAGTAACAGTAAAGACATTTATTATGTTACTGAAGACTTCTATTTCAAATAAATGCTGTTCCTTTGAACTTTCATCAAAAAATCTTGGAAAAGTGTATTACGATTTCTACAAAAATATTAAGCAGCAATTACTGTTTTCAGCATTTATAATAATTAAAAATGTTTCTTGAACACCATTTCAGCATATTGCAATGATCTCTGAAGAATCATGTGACACTGAAGACTGGAGTAATGGCTGCTAAAAGTTCAGCTTTTCCATCACGGGAATAAATTGCATGTTAAAATAGATTGTAAATAATATTTCACATATTGCTGTTTTTAGTGTATTTTTGATATACATAAGTATAGCATAAGAGACTACTTTCAAATAATTGAAAGAATTTTACCAACCCCAAACTTTTGCAAATATTTTAAGTTTTTTTTACTCTTTATTAGAGTTAGTCTTAAAACAAGATTGCTAGTGGGGTAAGAAAAATAGTCTTAATTAAAGAAATATTCTCTGAAAACAAACCTAATTATCTAACACAATTTTGCTTCTCAAGAAAATTTATCTGGTTTAAAAGGACGTTTAGATACTTTACTGTAAAACAAGACAAATTACTAATTAAAATGAAAATGAATGTAAAAATTAATCAAATGCTTTTTATTCTGTGTCACTCTCTACGGATGAAATATTTTTCAGTTTGTTCCAGACACTTTATCGACAGCATTATGGCGTTTCCTGCCCACACATCTTTATGCATCCAATTAAGTAGAAACGCAGAGAACGATTTCCCTGAGGTTGGCACAACTCTTTCTGAGAGTGCTCTCCGCCATCCTGTTTTAATATGTCTAATTCAGCTCTGCCCTGATTGCACTGAGTCTGTCTGAGCTTGCAGATGGAGACATTAATCTACTGCTGCTCTTACACACACTCACACACGCACACACTGTTCCATGGTAATATATGTTTTTCTGATATCACTTGAATGCAGACAGCCTGGCTCAGAAAGTGCAGTCGTATGAGTATGCAGACAAAGAAGACTGCAGACGTGCTAGTCGTGACTGTGATTAACAGCCTGTTCTTTCTACTGTCGGTGATGTGATTTCAAAGGCAAATGGAAGGTGGAGGACCCTTCATATCTACAGAGCTTTCTGGTGAAAGGCTGGGAATGGCATTCTGCTAAGTCATGTAGTGCTGGATTCTGGGACTTAAGGAACTGTGGCTGTCTTTGGGTCCAACTCACAGCAAAGTTCCTCAAAAATTGCAGACAGACGTGGAAAATCTGCTGACATCTCTCTGAGGCTTTTTTTGTGCAATGTCTGCAGCATTTCACAGTCCATATGGACCTCACCATCTAAACTCTCCATGAGTGCTTCCAATAGTTCTGCTCTCTCCATGTGTTCAGTCATCCGGCGAGAGATGCATCAGCACAGTACTAAACTCAAACACTCAATCCCCCATTAGCAAAGTAAAGTTGTGTTCAAACTGTTTAAAAGTTTAGAACAGCTCCACTAATAAACTTTCCGACACTTTATCTAGCCATTCAAAGCGTGTATGATGTTACATGAGAAATGCAATTTGATCCTGATTTTCACAGTGCTACAACCCCAAAATCGAGTTAACATAATCGAGTTTGTATTCTGGAAGAAGACCAGCTCTGATTTTCCATCCAGCTGTCTATGATCCAGGCATAATCGTGTGAGGACTTCTGTTTCCTTCAGTCATTTTCCCAATCATTTCTTCTTTTTTTTAATTTCTTCTTCTTTTTTTCTTATGTGCTTAAACATCATCTTAGTGATTTTTCTTTTTCACTGTCGCCTTTAGCTGCTCACTGTTTGTAATAAACTCTTCTTTGTAATGCTGCCTTGGAACAATATGCATTGTGAATAGCTGTATAAAAATGAATTTATTTATTTTATTTTTTGGCATTTTTGTCCATTTGCTTATTTTCTGTGTTTGTTTTGTTGTGCACTGAGTAGCCCTGCCCACAGTGAAATCTCATTGGTTTAAAATCTTGGTCTATATTAAAAATCAAACATACTCAATTTAGCTGTGATTGTGCCACGTCATGCAGATTTTTTTTTTTTTCAGTTTGGACAGACAAATTACTGAGTCTTGTCACTGGAAGCTTGTCAGTTCATACCTGCTGGGACTCATTGGAAGTGACAGTATAATTGCTAGTCATAGCAGATGTCTATCCATGAATACATTTTATGGAAATGAATTTTAGTTTTATTGACTTATGCACTGCAAATGGGTCTTGTAGCTTGAATTTAATCCAGAAATATCACATTTAGGGCATATGGTGTGAAGAGCTACTTCACGTCCAGAGGTTGTCGAAAATGCATGTGGCATAGTGTAAACGCTATTTCCTTCTGATGCATCCATGGTGACATAAAAGAACTGCCTACTAGGACTGCCTACTTGTCAATCAAATGCTGCTTTAAAACAAAAGGTTACTTGAGCGATGCATAAACGTTTTTGTGCTATTGTTTTGCAAACATTATTAAAGACCAGACAACTTTACTATTAATGTGACTGGAAGAACATTTGTTCATTACTTTGAGAGAACCTTAACAGAACATTAGTCGAAGTTTTGAGAACACTCCCTGTTATCTGTGTAGAAACCATAACTTTTCCTTAATAAAAGGTGCAAGCTTGAAATTATTGTGCCTTTAAATCCTGTACGGGTGGTGTAGCTCTTGTTGGTGAGTCTCAAGTAGGGCAGGTCAGTGAGAGTTCGGCTCCCTGCCGCTTTATTGGCTGCTCATCTCAGTTTCTCATCACCTGCTTAGAGCGCAGCCTTGTCTAATCCCTCGTCCTTTATGCTGGAAAAGGAGGCTGAAAGAGGCATCCAGATATCCAAGTTGGGTGGAGGCCAAGTTGGGTGTTCCGGAGAGATAAACAAAAGGGCCGCTCTTAGATACAAGATGCTGGCAGAAAAGCCATATTGAAAACTGCATCTGCAGCTCTACAGATTGGCAATTTATACAGGGATTATTATTTTGGACTCTAGAAGGGGATTTTAGGAAGGATTTTGGTAGATAGTGAGCGCTCTTGGAACTAAACCTAAAACATTTTTTTTGTGCATGCAGAATAACAGTTACTTCTTTAAATGTCTCAAGATGGATAGATAGATAGATAGGTCATGGCATCATGCTGATACTCATATTATGTAGACACACTCGATATTGACTACTGTTTGAACAAACGAATCAGACTTCATCACTTGCAAAATATCAGTGTGAACAGTCACCCTTGAAGATGGGATTTGAAAACTAAATCGGATTTATGCACAGTATAAAATCCTTTTTCTCTTTTTTCCCCCAGTTCCTCTGTCCTGCTCTGAGGGCTTCACTGAGCTGGGCTATTACAACGGCACAGTTTCTCAGACCGACTCGGGTTCACCCTGTCTAAAGTGGACCGAATTCCCAGATTACATGCAGCAGTATCCGGGCAGGGGTCTTGGAGAGCACAATTTTTGTCGAAATCCTGACCGTGAGTCCAACCCATGGTGTTTTTTCAGGCAGAGTTCAGGGGCCATTGGTTGGGCCTACTGCGACTGCCATCAAGGTGAGTACTACAACATTTTATTAAAGGTGGCTACGCTCCACTAGTGAGTAAATTCAAAAAGTATTATAGATCTTTTGTAATATGATTTTTTAAAATAATATCCCTTAAGGCGGCGTCCCACTAGCCAAGTCGAAACAACATTTTTCTGTCTGAGATCTGTCACGTTCACTGATTTAAAATTTTATGTAAACAGCAATCTGCAGTTTCCTGTCATAGATTGCAATACCTCATTTTGGCAAATCAATGTGAAACTCTGCAAAATAACAACAGAAAAAAACAGCAATTCACATCTACACCATGAATCCCTTCAGATTTTGCTGCGGAATATTCATGCACAGCTTCAATGAGAAAAAGATGCGCTTTCAATAAACAACCCTCACCGTTTTATTTTATTCATTTTAGTGTCTGAGAATTCCAGAAAAACACAATCAGAGTTTGCAATATGTGGCTTTGCATCTGCTGAGAAAAAAAGTTTGGGTCAGATCCATTAACTCATCAGGGAGTTGAGTCTCTGGGGCTGTTAACGCTTCCCGCAGAGAGAAACACAGGAGCTTATGACTGAAAATCAGCTAGTGGGACGACAGCCTTAGATGTTAGAATATTCTAACATTCTTCAGATGATAAATAAGTGTTTTAGGATCTCTATGTGTACTGTTGTCCTACTTTCCTTCAACTTCATCAACTTCATATTTAGAAATCAATGGTTGACATTCTTGTGAAGAATATTCTGTATGTATCTCAGGAAAATTAGAAAAGGTTTATTCTTAAAGAAAGAAGAAGCTTGTGTAAAAAGCATCTTTGCATTCTGTGTGCAGTTGAGACAAAAGGTGACTGTGACTTTGCTAAGTAGGACATGCTCCTGGATCAACATTCTGTTCCTTTTATCAACCAATCACATATTACTCTTATATATATATATATTTATCTCTCACTTATTCAGGAGCAGTCAGGTTAGCAGGAGGTTCATCCCCAAAGAGTGGCCGACTGGAGGTCTACCTGAATGGCCAGTGGGGGTCGGTTTGTGACACACACTGGACAGACCGTGATGCTAGTGTGGTTTGCCGACTGCTTGGACTGGGGTATGGGAATTTATGTTTATTTCTAATTAGGGCTGTCAATTTAACACATTAATTTAGAACAATGGATTAAATATAATGTGAAAAATGATGCTTCGACTGAAACAGTAATGTAATGTCTGTGAATGTTTTTTTTTCTCGACAAATATGTCATGATTAATTGCAATTCATTTGAATAATTCGTAATGTAATTAATTTAATAAAATTCAGCCCTGCTTTATTTTATCTGTGAGTATCAGATCTGATTTTCCATAGATTTATGGATCTGTGCCTCTCAGTGTGGTCAAAGCAAGGGTACTCATTTGTATATTTAAATGATTAATTAAAATTCACAGTGTCTTAATTTTTTACTATGTCTATTTTTGATTTAGACTTTGTTAAATCATCTAAAAGTGGGTGGAAAGACTCACGTCGCTGAACAGTGGAGGAGATAACTTCTTCATATTTCTTTCCGTTTGTTGTAGTGAGATTGGCACGGCTCTCCAGCACTCATATTTTGGCCCCGGCTCCGGGCTTTTTCACTACGCCCGCCTTGGCTGCCGTGGTGATGAGAAATCCCTGCTGGATTGCAGAAGCAGGAAGTTTGTTACGAGTGACTGTAACCATGGAAACGAGGCCGTAGTAGTGTGCGCACCACCTGAAGGTCAGTGTGCTTTCTGTGACAGTGAAGCTAATGACCTTTTAAGTGAAATAAACACTCCTGCATCTAGATGCCCTCGCAAAACCACAGAGCTGTCATAAAACAGAAAAAGTGCTTTTAAATTGGATACAAAGATCATCAGGGTTATTTAAAGTCTGTTTTCGAGAATTCTATTTCAGCCTCTGTGTCTGCATTGTAAGTGAACGTCGCAATATGACAAATAAGACTGCTCCCATTATAATCAACAAAGTTGTCTGCAAGTGCTTATAATGTGAGCATCTTGTTTTTTTCATGATGTGTTGTGCTGCACCTCATTGCTTGCTTGCAGTGCAGACCGGCTGTAAAACCTGCTAATTAAATTACATTCAGTTGCAGTATTAGCTGTTAATTTACTCTTGTTTTTATAATCTTGACGCAAATCATTACAATATCAAAATAATGTCATCGTTGATTGATAAAATTCTATAAACAAATCCCCTTTATGCTTTATTATGCTTTCAGCTACAGATAAGAGTGGACTATTCTCAGCTCTGTCAAATTTGAAATTAATTCCACAGATTTTGCCATAAAAACAGAATTGAAGATCTAAAACAGTGTCTGGATAATGACTTGTGACACTATGATTTTTCTTCAGTGTTGTGATATAAATATGAAAAATATAATTAGACATTGCTGTAATTGTCAGTTTCTGCACATTTTACTCTATTATTTCTTCCCTGTTCACCCTGCATTTTCTAAAAGTGGCCCTCGAGCGACGTCATTTGAGTATGTCTGATCTACCTGAATACTAAGATAGAAAACCACGGGGTGTGTGATGGAACATCATGAGGATGATTATGTTATCTTTGAATTGCCATTATTGCTGCTTCTTTGTCCATTCATATTGACTTATTAAATTGGCGCTTACTGAGATTAGAAATTTTAATGAAACATTTCAATGGGGGATTATACTTTCTTTGGTGGAATCAAAAGAGCCATACTTTCTTTTGTAGAAAGGTACAAAGGGGGAAAAAACGAGAAAAGAGGTTGGAAAGCAAATCAATGGCGTCTGAACTCATGATTGCCTACTGAGAGCTTTATTGAAGACACAATCTGAGGACACACGGACACATGTGCACTGTGCTGCGTTACCAGGACAGCAAATTATGTATTTTAGCCCTTGAATTGAAAGAATGGCTGCATATAATGTGTTCCTGACATGAATTATTCTTATTATATATGAAATATTACCAGCAACTGTGCATATATCTGATCGTAGTGATTGGTTTTGCTTCAGGACCTAGTTTTTATAGTGGACATTAATTGATGACCCAACACATTACCACATTATCATGATCAAATAAAAAAACAATATGCAAATATACTTACACTTTTGTTCAACATTTTTGGGAGTCGGTAAGCTTTTGAAATGTTATTCAAAGAAGTACAGCTCCCGCATCTCACACACACAAGCGCGACTTTAGCACTAGATTTAGCAACTTTCAGACCAAAATAGGGCATTCTAAGTCAATATACTGCAGTACTTCCTCTCTTAATCAGTAGAAAATGTGGTTAACACCCGGTCATGCATGGAAAAAAAAAATACCGTCATGTACCGTGAAACCGGTATAATTTTGAAAAATACCGTGATATACATTTTTGGTCATACCGCCCAGCACTAGTGGCCACACAAAATATTGACACTTTGGGCCCAATTTGGACATTTTCACTTAGGGGTGTACTCACTTTTGTGGCCAGCGTTTTAGACATTAATGGCTGTGTGTTGAGTTATTTTGAGGGACAGCAAATTTACACTGTTATACAAGCTGTACACTCACTACTTTACATTGTAGCAAAGTGTCATTTCTTCAGTGTTGTCACATGAAAAGATATAATAAAATATTTACAAAAATGTGAGGAGTGTACTCACTTCTG